GAGATTCTTTTTTTTCCTCCTTTTGCCTAATTCCTTTTTTTGTAGCTGGATAATTTAGAAGAAAAAAAAAGTAATCAAAGATCCTGTACTTCCTAGGAACGCTCATTCTGTGGGATAAAGGAAGACTCATAACCTGTCAGCATTTCAAAATCAGCTGATACAGTTCAGTAGCGCAGCAACATTGGTGTTTGTGGCTCTACAGCAATGATTCTTCTCAAGTACAGCAAGAATTTGGTACGAACCAAATTCTTCAGCATGGGGAAAAAAAAAAAAGTCATCCACAACACAAACTGGCTGAGGGTGAGGGGGAATCATCAGAACACCTAGACAGGCAAGGGACACACCGAGCAAGTCAAGCAAGCCATCATTCCCCATCTCAGGCTGCAGCAGCGCCGCTTAAACAGGTCTCTCATACTCTCAGGCTCCGAGGCTGACAGCAGTCCTCCTCTCCAGTGTTTAAGCATTTCAACACTTATCTCTCCTTTTGGAGATCAACAGAAGTGACACAAAAGACCTTACAGAAGAAAAATGACGACTCAACTTCCGTGCATGGAAAGGGTTGAGTCTTTGAACAAACAAAAAACTAAGAGAGACCATGTACAGTAGGGTAAAACAGCATATGCTTACAATATTTCCAAGAGTGAGACAATCACAATGGCTACATAAGGATATTTGCTGTATTAATTTGCAATACCTGAAAAAAGCCCTGCTGAGTTTGCACTGTATTTACACATTGATTGGCTTCTTCCTTGCAAGCAAGCAGCGGCATCCGTTCCCACCTCCGTCCTTCCCTCCCCCCAGTCCTTCCCCTGGGTTTAAGCTACTCATAGTCAGAACAAGAACATTCAGTCTAAGAAAAATTTCTTAGAGTAATATAATTTCTTAAAGAAGATAGCATATTTACACACATCTAACACATGAAAATACTCTATTTTATACTAAATTTCTGTTTCAAATAAACTACAGTACTGCATCTCAGCTTTCTGCAGCTTTAGAGGACAGTCCCCATTGGGCTCAAACTGGGCTTCCTACTCCCGCTTCAACCGGCAGCTTTGCCTTACAGTGGTGCACTACCATTGCCTTCAAGTCCTGACAGATCTCCAGTTGTGGTTTGCTTGCTTGGGAAAGGAATAATGAAGTTCTCAGCAAAGCCATGCTAAACATCCACTCCTTTAATGAGCGATCCTTCTAGGATGATGTTGAAATCTTGCAATGTTTGTAGGACTCGGATAAGGGAGTTGACAGTCATGCGGTCCCGTAGGAGAGCGTTCTCCTCATACATCCTTGTAATGGGCGGGCACTCTGCCAGCAACGGGATCCACTGAGAGAGCAAGTGGTCCCTGCAAAGGGGATGAAAGGAATTATTTTAGCACCAAGTACAACAGATCTCAAACGGAAATTCTTCTCCAAGAACACAACCAAAACCACGCAGTCTCTTTTTGTGGGCGATGCATATTGTTTGCACATAAAAGTTTCCCGTGTAACCATAACCCTTGATTTTGTTAGTAAAATACAGGTAACTGAACATACTGTAGGAATGAAGATGGAAAGATATCAGCAGAACTGGACAATTGACCTTGGAAGAATTCAGCAACGTTTTCAGATCAGGAACAGGGAAAGTAAAACTCAGGAAAAACCAATAGACTGTTTTCCAACTGGTTTTCCATGTATCCAGACAGACAAGATGAAAATGGTACTTATTTCTAGACATACCAACTTCCACCCTCCAAAATACAACTAAGCCCCCCCCTTTGCCACTCCCCAAGTGCAAGCAGAAAGCATCCTATTAGGAAAGAAAGATTCATCTAGAATAGTTCTGCCAAAATTATAACAGACATCCCATTTTCATAGGCAAAGTGATTCAATGAGGATTTAGAAATACACCAGCTCTTGCAAAGGAACTCTGCATTCCCAAAGCCAGCACTTCATCAAAAATACAATTTAAAGACAGATTTCATACTTATGACTGTCAAGCTAACAGTTATAAAAGAGTGCAAAACATTTTTAGCAGTTTAGACACTAGCCACGTATCATTACTGCTTCTTTGCTCCAATTTTTCATGTAGTATTAAAGCTGCCTAAAATAGGATAATAGGTACGAGATGTCTTAAAATGGAAAACTGAAGGTAATAACAACGGTGTAAAAATATTCTTCTAGTCTAATGCAAGAGGACACACATAACGAAGAGCAGTTAGGTACCTCGTCCCCAGGCAAACCAGAATTTGGAATTTGCCGTCCTTTCCAATGTTCCTTGGAGCTGTATTGATGGCATTCACATAATGACAGAAGGTTTTGCATGAAGACCTCTGAAGCAAAAGGGCCTCCTCATTGTCGCCAATCTGGTCACTGGTTTCAAAATAAGCAACAGCTTTCTCTGTGGTAAGGAGAAAATCAGAACCCAGTGAGCAGAAGTACTTCATTGTGACACAGAATTACACAATGGAATCCTTAAAAGAACCAACCTGCCGAGAGCTATTGCACCGTTTATATATGGATTCCTCACTCTGAAGACCATAGGTAGGTGGTGATCTCCACCTTTGCTACCTAGCAGTGGTCAGCAGACTGGTTGATGTCTAATACAGTTAGGTAACATCAAGGAGCCGCACCAGAGTACCTATCAATGGTTTCATTGGAAGTGATACCATCAGCTTTGATTTTTCACCTTTTCTGAGTAAGCACTTACCCTCAGGCTAAGTATCTCAACTTGTGAGCATGTTTTAAGGGACTAAGTACGTCTTAAGTTACTGCAACATAGGCCTACAGATAAACATCACCAGAAGACCAGTGCAGTGATTAGGAGAGTCTCATAGACAACTAGAAATCTAAACCTTTCACTCCCTGCCCTTTCCCAACTCTCCCCGTAACATCAATTGCTACTTTACCCCAACCTCCAGCCTACCTTCTTTCTGGGTAAAAAAGCAGCTGTTTGAATGTTCATCTATGAATAAACGACTAGAATTTGAAGTGCTCTTAAATTTCTGCACAGATTCACACTCATCCTTTATATAGAGTTTAGTATTTCTCATCTTCCATCTTGTTTCTCATTGACTTTAAGCAACCTGGAGCAGGTGCTAGGCAGGAACAAATGGCACCCTAGAGCTGATGAGAATCCGAGGTCTGCGTCTGAGTAGTCATTTTGCCCTAATCTTTCTTCTCCTTCTGCCTCCAAATCACGTACCAGCTTACCTATAAAATCCCAGATGAAGACATTCTTATGAAAAATGCGAGCTGATTTGAATCCATGGTGGAAGACCTGCTCCAGTGCTGCGACCAGACCGTTTTCTCCACACAACAGAATGGTAAGGCTTCCTCTCTGTGGGAAAGGAAGAGTGTGTAAGTACAACTTGCCTTGTTTGTATGCCAGAGGCTTCAAATCTAAAGGTTAACAGTCTCTACTGGTACTTCAGTTCCATTTCTGTTTATAAAAAATATTTACATGCATTGTAGATACAAGGCAAGTAATGAAAAGTAGGAAGTACCTCTTTCTCTGGCTTGTGAAAGTGTTTCACAATATTGTTCACGGCTTCCCCGATTCCCTCTTGGATCTGTCCCGCATTAGGCTCTGTGAAATGATGGAGAGCATACTAGCTGAAGATACCAACTTTAAAACATTCATCAAATTCTCACGATGACGTAGCTTGAACTGCAGGAATTATTCTGTATCTTTAACAGAGTTCAGGCAATCATTTGTCTTGGGTAAACCTGAGCCTTAATTACAAGCAACTGTCGAGCAACCCTGGAACAGTCAAATAAATCGCCCTACTTAAAAATGCACAACCCAAGGATCTGGCTTGATAAATATTTTATTTGAGTTAATCACATCTTGCTTATCACACAGAGTACAGCAACCCTCACACGAAGAGACATGGGCCGAAAGGTTGTAGCCCAGTCGTTTGACTCAGTTCTACGTGACAGAGGCCAGAAAACCCAGCACTCATTAATTCCTGACTTGAACCCACAATGTTTTACTGGGCCAAAACAAGTATCTATTTTAGGCACGTCTAGTCATTGTACCAGTGTGAGGGGCCACAGGCAGTGAATATTCCTTATGAACGGTTCCAAGAGTAAGTTATCTTCTGTGTTAAAATGTATGCCATGTTTCTGCTCTGAATCTGTATGCCATTGAGCTGTATGCCTCTGTTACTGAATCATGCTATGCCTCCACCTGCTACCGTCTCATCTTCCTATGCAGGTATCTGCAGAAAATTATCTAGTCCCTCATTCACTTTCCAATTAAAACAGACTGAACTTTTAAAACTTCATTTTAAGCAGATGTTTTCCAGACTTCAACTGTTTTCCTGGTTCTTCTATGAGTCCTTTCTAGTTTTTCAGACATAGGTATGTTGCTATTAGCTTGTCCTACAATTGTTTTGGAAGCATGGAGTAATTCAGTGTCATTTTAGTACATGATGACCTCCACAGTCTTTGGCAGGTCTAACACAGAGCCACAGGTAGCTCACAAGACAAATGAATGATTGGGCCTTAGTGTTCTCAGACCTAAGGAAATGCTCTGCAAGTGGTTCTGGTGCCCAGTCCTCCAGCTAACATGGACTCACACATGTAAAGAGCTGCAATGGTCCCGTGGTGGTTTTTAAATGCTGCATTACTCTTGGAGGCTAATCTTTCCTTGCTTGACATTTCAACAGTCATGTCCTCTAATTTTACAGGAGCTGGACAGATTTATGAACAGGATCTACACTGTGCTTATCTGTATGCTTTAGCGGAGAATGCCTCATGTGGCCCTTACAGTCCCATGCCCTATTGTAGCCAGGTGCAGTTACTCATAAAAGCTAATTTTAGGGACGTGAAGTTGATGTCCCCCAGGGTCCCTCTGGAGATGTGCTCCTCCAGAAGGCAGTTCACAGCATCCACATCAGGCTCTGAACTACCCTTCAGAGAAGACTGTCTTCCAGCTGACTGTAAAGTGAGCCGGGAAGCTGAGCAGCATCAGCTACTGCAAATTCTGCTGCCTCCTCCTCCCTCATCTCATATCTCCATGCTCCAAGGAAAGAGATTATCATCTCTCAGCTGTCAAATGGGGACATTGAAAGAGGCAACGGAAGAGGCAACGTGTACAGTCACAGAGCAAGCTGCAGACACACAAACCAGGGCAGGAAAAACTCATCAGCTTGCAGCTGTTCCTCTGCACCAAGCCTTGCTTCAGTATGAGCTCTCCTGTTCACATGAGCTTTATTTCTCAGCAGTTGCTGGCCCCTTCTCTAGGGCCCTGGGGAGAAAGGCAAGGACTTACTGGTGTTCTTCCCTGTGAGGGAAGTGATGCTCAGTCGTCGAGCCGTGGTAGGAGATTTCTGCTGGGGTGGGGTACGGCACTGCTTTCCCAGCTCTTCGTCAGACGTGGAGGACACCAGCTCTCCAATGAGTATTCGCTCCAAACTGCCATCGTCAACACCCTTTCCCAGCCATCGCCCGCAGGGAAACCTGCCATGCGGCCAGCACAAGCACAGGTCAGCCACACAGGTAGTCCAGCTTGATCTCAAAGTTAGAGGGACAGCTAACACTCATAAACACTGCTAACGGGCAGGGAATACTCTGTAGCCAGAAACTTTCACGAAACAGAACTCAGCGGGCAGCATCCCCTGCACCACACTGATAGGACCAAACCAGAAAACTACATTCACCTCCATCCTTAGGAAAAGGGAAATATGCAAAGCTTGCATGAAAGCACAGGACAACGGAAAGTGTTATACACATAGTTCATGGGCCACATCTTGATTTCTGCCAGGTTATTTTTCACTTGCAACCACAACTGATATTCAGCCTTTAAAAATATTGTGATGATAAACAATTAAATCCTCACACGGAGTTCCCACCCAGCTGAAGCTGTGACATCTCCTCATACTCAAACCTCACCTCACGTTTTATTGCTGTATTTTCTGGCCCTATCCACAGTCCTGATGAAATCCATGCACCTGTCCATACCCCGAGTCCCTGTACCCCATTTCCTCCTACTTTCCCCCATATGCTGCGACCAACCTTGAGCTCTGGAGCTCACCTCTCTGAATTATAGTTTTCCAAGTCCACATTTAGGAAAAAAAAAGTTTGCTTAGCCAGATGTTTCGTAAAACCAATGATGAGTTAGGAGATCATTTCAACACAAGAGGTATGTACTCCATAGAAGATTAGGAAATCATCAAAACCTTTTATTTTCGCGTAATCTGAGTTTCTGTACATTTGTTACAGTACTTAGACATTTGAATATTTTTTAAAAGAAAAAGAAACCAAAGATTTGCCCTAAACTATCATTCCAGCTCTTGGGGGTTTAAAGAGTTCATTTGTGCACAATTTTACCACGCTACTTTAAATCAAGAGATTTAATTATTAGACACAAACGTGAATCACTTCAAAAGTATCCATACTGTCTGTCCTGTCTCAGAGAGATGCACAGAAAACCCTACCTTCAAGACTCATTTAATATTTATCAGATTATTTGACTTCAACTAGGGCTTCTGAAATGAGAGAACCAGGGGTAGGGGAGACCAACCCAACCCTATCGGGTACCCAAATCAGCCCACAGTGCTCCATCAGCTGAGGAGAAGATGAATGCCTTCCTGCTTTCCCTAGATTTAACAAGTAGGAATTTCAGACAAAGAAAATTAGAATTTGTTGCTTACTTGTACGTGTGTCCTGTTATTTCATTCCTGACCATGACACAATCAACCAGCCACTTGGCTAGTAGCCCTGAGTTGTCATGACCAATCTGAACGGTTGTCAGCTTCCCTAAATTCTGGCACTGAAATGAATAAGAGTTTTTACTTAATTTAAAAAACAACAGACAACACACACCCCCATCACATGCACACATACGGTCTCAAATGTATGTTTTTATTCTGTTTCCTTTGATTTATACAGCAAGTATTTTCAACCAAACATGCAGAACGTTTTGAAAAGCAGAATAGTTATTTTAACACAGGAGAAAAGAAATACCTTGAAATAAAACTATTAAAAGCATGTGAAGAGATGACATTCTTTGTCGTGAGCGCACACTCTGAATAGTCCTGAGAAGCGTTAATTAAAAATTTCTGAGCTAAGGTCATAAAAAGGTGTGCTTTTGAGGAAGAAATTGATCTTCAGTACAAACAGCTTTTAAAAAATGCATTTTGAGCATACGGACCTTCAGCTGACTCACTCTACACTATGAAGCAGTCCCTAGATCCTTTATTATTTTCAAAGATTGATTTGCTTATTGTTGGGCAAGACAAAAATCACTAACATGAGACTCTTAACGTCGCAAAGAGACAGAACAAGGAAAAAAAGGGACTGTGAATTCCAGTGCAATATGTAATTGTAGGTGAGGCTGGCAGTAACATCTATTAATGTCACCTAAACACTTCCATTGCAAGACCTTGATTTTCATTGCTTCTAATGGCGGCAAACTTTTTAGCAGGGCCCGTTGCGACAGGACAAGGGGGAATGGCTTTAAACTAAAGGGGGGCAGATTTAGACTAGATAGAAGGAAGACATTTTTTATGCTGAGGGTGGTGAAACACTGGCACAGGTTGCCCAGAGAGGTGGTGGCTGCCCCATCCCTGGAAACATTCAAGGTCAGGTTGGACGGGGCTCTGAGCAACCTGATCTAGTTGAAGATGTCCCTGCCCACGGCAGGGGGGGTTGGACTAGATGACCTTTAGAGGTCCCTTCCAACCCAAACTATTCTATGAATACTACCAAACAAGCAGCTTGGGCTGACATTTTCCATAGTGGAAATGGAAATGGCTACCCAAGCTGATATTTTAGGAAAGGTTCAGCCAAAGGAGTATTCCAGAACAGTGTTCATATGTATGTTTCTGATACAGTGTTCTGTATCAGCAATAGTGTGGCCAGCAGGAGCAGGGAAGTGATCGTGCCCCTGTACTCGGCACTGGTGAGGCCGCACCTCGAATACTGTGTTCAGTTTTGGGCCCCTCACTACAAGAAGGACGTTGAGGTGCTGCAGCGTGTCCGGAGAAGGGCAACGAGGCTGGTGAGGGGTCTGGAGAACAAGTGTTATGGGGAGCGGCTGAGGGGACTGGGGTTGTTTAGCCTGGAGAAAAGGAGGCTGAGGGGAGACCTCATCGCTCCCTACAACTACCTGAAAGGAGGTTGTAGCGAGGTGGGTGTCAGTCTCTTCTCCCAAGTAACAAGCGATAGGACGAGAGGAAATGGCCTCAAGTTGCGCCAGGGGAGGTTTAGATTGGACATAAGGAAAAATTTCTTTACTGAAAGAGTGGTTAAACATTGGAACAGGCTGCCCAGGGAAGTGGTTGAGTCACCATCCCTGGAGGTATTTAAAAGACGTGTAGATGAGGCGCTTAGGGACATGGTTTAGTGGGCGTGGTGGTGTTGGGTTGACGGTTGGACTCGATGATGTTAGAGGTCTTTTCCAACCTTAATGATTCTATGGTCCTTGGAAATGTCTAAATATGTTACTTTGCTCGTTAGAAGCCTGCGGATCTTTTCTACAAAATACTAATATCTGAATGAGAGGCTGCCATTGTATCACGAAAATATCCTATCTCTGTCAAAACCTACCTATATTTGGCAAGAGGGGTTTTTTTTGACTATTGTTGTTGAAGATCAGTCTGCATATGCTCAGTGGATGCAACTTTTATTTCAGTAGCAGATTTTCCTGCGAAATCACTCCTTACTGGGTATGGTATAGCCTGGAGTTATAGGAGCCTGACGGGGCTTTCCCTGCAATTTTCGCTACCAGCTGCTTTCGGGTGGCACCAAGCCAACCTGTAATTGCTGGGTGGGAACGCCGGGTAGTCAAACGCAAAGAGAAAACGACAGCAAACACAGAGAAAAGAGCCCGATGGTGGCTCTGCGATTTGCCGGGGGTAGCACATGAAGCTGGGAAGTTGAAGAACACAGGAGTTAGACTGGCTGGTTGGAAGGAAAGCAGTGTTGGACAAGGAGCTGGAGTGGGAGGAGAAGAAATTTAGGACTGGCCAGAAGAAAGAAAGAGGAGAAGAAATTTGGGACCCAGGTGGTGGTAAGTGGGAAGGCAAATTGAAAGAAGGGAAAAGAAACTAGGAAGGGAAGTGAGGAGTCAGAAATGAGCTCTGAAAGAGAAAATTGGGATAGCTGGCAAGGTGATGTGGAAGGGAACGAGATGTGGAAATAGATAGGCTAGGTGAGAAAAGAGGAGCCCTGGGCTGGGACAGGGACAGCGGTGGAGCCTATGCTTAAAAGCGGTACGTGCTCACAGGAAACTTTCATCTAGCACAGGAGGGGCAGGCAGCACTATTTTCCCGATTTTTAATGTACAGAGACCTTGAACATCTGGACAGAATCTGAAATGCTGTGATCTTAAGACAATAAACCCTCACCAAATTAATGTTTATGTGGAAGCATGTTTCAAATTGAAAAGTAAAATGTGAAGAGCATGTACTCACCTCAAATGTCATTTCTAGGTGGTTTTTAGGAATCTGCATTACGCCTGTATCTCCTAGTTCTCCCGACACACAAATCCATGGGTTTGACGTGGTTATTGCATTGCTTAGTTTTTTGATGGGAATTATCACTGACCTATAAGGGATCACTGAGAACGGGGAGGGGGGGAGGAAATGAGTTAGTCTTGACTTTTTTTTTCCCCCCTCAGAGTAAACACAGTTTCTGGAGTAAACGATGCCTCTCCCTTGCGGGTAAGTTCTTGTCCCATGTCTCAGCAGCCTAACGAGGAGAACTCCCCCTCTGTTCTCCCTATCAAGGGGTGAGACAAACCTGCAGAGCGCCTCGCTGCAGCGGCAGAGACTCCCCCCTCACGCAGGGTGACAGCAGCAGTCTCCTTTCCAGCCAGCCATAAACCAGAAGAAGCGGCTCTGCAGCGCAGCTTTTGGCGAGCTCCTACCCGCAGCATTCATTACTGCGAGCAGCCTTCTGCGGCAGCTCCTCCAG